GAACAACCTTGTAACTATAACAAAATGGTCATTTTAAAGTTATTTTAATGATAATCTCTGGGAAGAAAATTGTTATAACATTCTGTCAAAAACTGTTAATAAGGATGTTTGGATTCTGTCAAAACCTTTGAGGCTGACAAATATGCCTTTTATATTAGAATTCAAATAACTGGAAACTTTATCATTTGTTAATTTATTGCTTTGCATTCATTAATTTATTTGAGGAACTTTTTTTAACTTTTAGCGTATCTACGTACAGTTGATTTTGGTTAATAGATTCTTTTCTCATACAATACATCCCTACCTCCACTTCTCCCAGCTTCGTACCACCTGCCCATTCCCCCAGATCTATTCCCCATCCAGTTCCTTTCAGAAGAGAGCAAGCCTCCAAGAGACAACAACTGAACACCACCAATGAAAATACAATAAGACAAATCTAAATCCCTCACACCAAGACTGGACAAGGTAACCCAACAGAAAGAATAGTTTCAGGAGCAGGCCAAAGAGATACACCTGCTCCCACTGTCAGGAGACCCACAAAACACTAAAGAAATAGCCAGAACATATATACAGAGGACCTGGTGAAGACCCATGCACACTTGTGCTTGCTGCTTTAAACTCTGTAAGGCCATGTGAGCCCTGCTTAGTTAATTTCATAGGTTGTGTTCTCCTAGTGTCCTCCGTTCCCTCTGACTCATACAATCTCCTGACTTCTTCTGTGGGTTCCTTGAGTTCCAAGGGAAGATACCTGATGGAAACCTCCAATTTAGAACCTCCCTCCCTCACTTTCTCTCTTTCTCTCTCCTTCTCTCCCTCCCTTAATCTTCATTGATCAACTATCTCTCTCTCTCTCTATCTCTGTATAATATCTGCCTGTGGATCTCTGCATTTGCTCCCTTCTGCTGCTGAAGGAAGTCTCTCTGATGACAACTGGACAAGTGGACAAGGCACTGATCTATGAGTATAACAGAATATCATTAGGAATCAAAGAAATCTATTGTAGTTAGGGTTTCTATTGTTGTGAAGAGACACTGTACCACAGCAACTCTTTATTATTATTATTATTATTATTATTATTATTATTATTATTATTATTAGCCAATCATCTTTGGTTCTATCCTAGGTCTCTGGGACATCCAGTCTCCAGTTTCCAGCAATCCAGGCATTATAGGGAATGGGACACAAATTAAATCAAAACTTGTTTTAAATCCCACAAGTTCTGCACCACCATTGCCCCAGCACATCTTGCAGGCAGGACAGATTGTAGATTCAGAGTTTTGTTGAAGGGTTGTTGTTCAGAATTCTCTTTCTGTATCCTTCAGAGTACCTTCCCAAGCCAAAAAGACTAGGCTTCATGCAGGCCCCAGATCAACCTATGTAGATTTTTTATGTGGATTGGGGGTGGGGTGGGGACAGGATGGGAGGGAGCAGGTGTGGGAAGGAAAGATGGAGAGAGTAAAGAGAGTGACAGCTGGAATTGGGGGTCACTTGGGGGACAGTGTAGAAAACTTGTGCAGTGGAAATTCCCTGGAATCTATGAGGGTTATGCTTGTGATGACTTCTAGTAATGGAGGATATGGAATCTTAACTGGCAGGCTTTTATAGACAGGCAAGTCTTCCAATGCTCAGCCAGGTTGCATGGTAAGGTTGTTGGCTGAAGGAGTCCCTTTGAGATCCCTAAACAGGCTGATGATAGGACAGGTCATTCTGCAAAAACCGACAGATGTGCCTGATTGTGAAAGACAACTTCCACATATCTAATTGAGCATAGAAAACATTATTATTTAATATCATCCCTTAACTTTGTAAACCTTATTGATCTTAGAAAAAATAGCAAACATGATGATGACAATATTAGGAGCATTTTGTTGGGAGATAATGCTGTCCTGTTGATTAGACTCTCTGAAGATTTCTACTATTATATGGAACAACTTCCCACATAAGAAATTCCACAGAAAAACAGGACGACTGTCAGATCAATGGAACTCAAGGTTCTATACACAAAAATACATACATATAGACTATATATACATATACACAGATATATTACCAGTCAAAAATAGACTGTTTTTATAAGGCAGTTATTTCTAAACCATATGAAACTGGTTAAGTATAAATTAAATTCAGACTGAGTTTGCTTTATTTTTAGTGAATCTATTTCAAACATATTTACTAGCAGACTTTTGCTTATAATCAGAGAAAAATAATTTTCACAGTTTCAGAAACTACAATGCCTAGATTAACTAAACTCTTAAGACTTGTCTTCTATGCATACATACTGAAATATTTGTCACTGAATTTGTTTGAATCCCAAGATTATCTTCCTAGGAACTTTTACTTAAAATTTTGAAAAGAGTTCCCATTCCCAGGTACAGAAGAAACTACTGCATAGTTCATGTAAGACACATAAGATATTGTTAACCATAATTCATGTAGATAACAAAATTGTTAGACTGTCCGGAAAAAAATAAATTCTTGTTATTGCTAGATATCTCTGTCTCAAACAATTCTGAAATACCTTAATAAAAATTCTATTGATGTCTCAGTGTGTGAAACTAGCAATAAATACTATAGTAAATACTATAGTAAATACTATATGAATACAAGGTCATATATTCACATAAAGAAATCTTACCTATCATTGAAAAAGAAAAAGGACCACACATGTATAAATATAAAAAGTGAAGCTAAAGTGAAATTATTTCAAGACAAAAGTATCACATATTGTATGATTCTATTTGTGTGAAATGTCCAGAAAAGTGAAAACATTAATGACAAAGTAGAATACTCTTTACCAAGACTACATTGCAAATGGAGACTATCTGCAAATAGTTATGAAGAATATTGTTGGAAAATTGAGATGTTCTCAAATGGATTGGTTGCCATGGTTAAAATGTTGTGTAAAATGATTAGAATTAAGTTATATATCAATGAAGGCCTTAAAATAATGATAATGTGTAAGAAGGTAGATTCATAGACAGACGACAGTGTTGAAAAAATAAATGACAACTTATCCATCTGTTGGTAGCAATCTGGTTCTCTAGTTTATAGATAGGACGTAATTTGAGAGCCCATAATTTAGTTTTGAAAAGAAAATTGTTATATATGTCTATTAGAAATGATTTGGTGAAACATTGGGGTTGTTAATTTGTGAACCATCTGACATTAATTTTATCTTTGCAGAAGAAGTACCAGCTCAAATTCCAATGATGAAGTCACCCTTGGACAAGATCCAGTTGGCACCTGGACAGGCATTGCCCCCCGGATTCCCTGGACCATTCATATTTGCTGATAGTCTGTCCTCCGTGGAGACTCTGTTGACCAACATTCAGGTCAACAATATTTCTATAAACAAAATAAATGTAATACAAGACATTAGCACCTACATATATTATTTCCTATTTGAGAATTTAAAACAGATAAGATGAACTGCTTGTCATTTGCTGTACTTTGACAGGGTTTACTGAAAGTGGCTTTGGATAATGCTCGCATCCAGGAGAAGCAGATTCAGCAAGAAAAGAAGGAACTTCGAATAGAGCTCTACAGAGAAAGAGAAATTAGAGAAAACCTGGAGAGACAACTTGCAGTAGAGCTTCAAAGCAGAAGTAAGTTGAACAAGTTCAATTAAATGCTGAATATTGCATTGGAAATAATTTTATTGCTTATAGAAACACCTCCATGGATAGTTTATAAATGTGAAAAATGAATACCAAACTAAAATCAAATAGTGGTAACCAAGTTACATAGCAATAAGAAAGTATTTCTTTTAAGTTTTTCTCTCAGAGGTAATGACTGACATTTGTATTTTGGCTAGTTACAAATTTGAAAATATGTATAGCTATGGTCCTCTCATAATCTGATAAATTATATCTAGGCATAGATATTGTCATCTGGCATTATGTATAAAATATTTATTCTCCCCTTGATGCTATATTCTGCAATTGTAAAGTAAATGAAATGTTGTTTTAAATGTAGCCTTTCAAAAAAACAAGAAATGATATAATATTACTCATCATATAAGAAATTATAATTTTAGTCTGAAATAAAAGGTATGGTTTTCTGAATAATTTCTTTTACCCAAAGTTTTACTGTGGATATTTTACGCTCAGCCCTGATTTCAATAGACTACTTTTTCTGATTGAAATAATTTGCTAATGACGTGTTTTAATATTCATGTGAATACAATTACATAGCAACATAATTTCATGTTTTAGCATACTTAACCATCTTTCATTGAAATAATATAAGACACAATATTTTCTGTCTTTGTCTCAAAAATTCTGCCTTACATATTACATTGTTATATTTTCATTTCAGGTATACAATTTATTTGTGTAACTGACTATCTTCAATTATTGAAAACATTAATATGTAAAATGAATAAAACTAAAACCTAGGCTATTACAGTATTTGGTTCAGTTAAAAATATAGTATACATATAAACTCTTTTAGCATTTTAAAATGTCATATAATTAATTACTTTTTAAATGTACTTTTAAAATGACATAGGAAGATGGTAGTTTTGCTTAGAATCTCGTTATGAACCAATACCTTCTTGTAAACCAATGATCCTGTTTGAAGATCTATCATATTAAGTTTTCAGAGTATAAAAACAATGTTTACATTATGGCAATGAAGTTTCTCCTTGAGATAGAAAGCCCTGAGAACTGAGCTGGAATTGTTATTTTGGTCAAGTTAAGCCTTTCTGCTTATGAAGGGCTTCTTACTGTGATTGCAGTTTTATAACTTGCTTATATAATCAATGCTCAAAGTTATTCTCATTAAAATGTATATGATTTTGTGTGTCTGTGTAGGAAGGGAAAGAAAGAATAAGAGAAACAGAATTATTTAAATAGATAACCCTTTGTCTCTTCAATTGATAACATTTCAGAGAAATACACACTTGCTACTTTCATTTTTAAAGAATAAAGTAATACTCTATGAATATTTATGTGTTTTATGTTTTGAATTTTGAAATATGGATAACAATAACTTAATAAATAAATAATAATATAAAATATCTAATAGTTATTATGTGTATTTGGTATAATATTAGACAATAATCCTCCCAGCTAACTGTCATCACTATGTAGATGCATTTGTATGAGAGAGCATGCATATTAGAAATGTGAAAGCAAAAATAAATGGGTGGAATTACACAACTACATTCAACAAAACACCAAAAGTGTGAGAACTGGGACCTGAAGAAGCTAATCATGTTAGCTGCTACATTTATGGCTCTCTGCTTCTATACATGTATCTATATACAAAGTATACTTTAATAAATAAA